TTGATTTTTTTTTTTTTTTTTTGAGAGGGGGAGTCTCACTCTTTTTCCCAGGCTGGAGTACAGTAGCACGATCTGAGGTCACTGCAACCTCTGCCTCCCGGGTTCAAGTGATTCTCCCTGCCTCAGCCTCCTGAGTAGCTGGGATTACAGGCACGAGCCACTACGCCCAGGTAATTTCTGTATTTTTAGTAGAGACGAGGTTTCGCCATGTTGGCCAGGCTGGTCTTGAACTCCTGATGACCTCAGGTGATCCACCCACCTTGGCCCCCCAAAGTGCTGAGATTACAAGAGTGAGCCACCGTGCCTGGCCTGATTCTAAATCTCTGTTTTTTAAATGGAAGATTTAGTCACTTACATTTAATGTAATCATTGATATGGCTGATTGGTTAGTTTTTTGTTTTCAGAGTCTCATCTGGTTTTTCGTCCGCTCCTCTGTTCCTGCCTTCTTACTGTAAGCAAATGTGTCTAATACTCCATTTCAGTCACTCCACGGGCTCCTCAGCTCCATATCTTCGCACTACTTTGAGTGACTGCCCGAGGGCTAACAATAGGCATTCTCGCCTGCTCACAACAGACCTGGGGTTAATATTTTCCACTTCATGTAGAATTTAGAGAGCCAGTGACGTTACAGATTCAGGAAGGATCCCCTCCCTCCTCTGCACTAATGTTGTGTATTTACAGTTTTTGCCTTAGTTGTGTCTATAATAAATTAAGAAAAAAAGAAATAGAGAACTTTTCATATTTACCTACCTTTACCATTTCCAGTGGATTTTACTCCTTTCTATAGATGAGTTTCTGCCTAGCAATAATTCCTTCAGCCTGAAGATATTCCTTTAACATTTCTTATAGTGTGCCTGCTAGCAAAGCTTTCTCTCAGTTTTCAGTTATCTGAAAATGTCTTTATTTTGCTTTCGTTTTTGAAGGATACTGTCACTGGACAGAACTCTGGGTTGACAATCATTTTTCTTTAGAACTGTAAAGATGCCAGTCCACAGTCCTCTGACCTCCAGTGGTTATAAGAAACCAGACATATTTGAATCTTTATTCTCTGAGTGTAACGTCTTTTTTTTTCTGAGTGCTATCAAGAGGTTGTCTTTGGTGTTCGGTAGTTTGCCTATAATACGCCCAGATAGGGTTTTCTCTTACTTCTACTGCTCAGGGTATGCTGAACTTCTTGGATTTATACATTTACATAGTTTAGCTATTATTTCTTTAAATACTTTTTATGCCCCATTCTCTGTGTCCTCTCTCTGTGGGGCTCCAATCACATGTATGTTAGACCACCTGGTGTTTTCCCACGTCACTGATGCTCTGCTCATTTCAATCTTTGTGTTTGTTTTTCAGCTTGGTTAATTTCTAAAGATTTCTCTTAAAATTCACTGAGGCTCTCCCCTACCATCTCCAACCTGTTATTAAGCCCATGCAACAGATTCTTCAGTGCAGACACTGTGCTTTTCAGTTCTAAAATGTCCAACTGGCTCTTCTTCAAAGATTCAGAGACTCCGCTAAATTTCCCCATGTGTTCGTTCATTAAGACCGCTACTAGGCTGGGTGTGGTAGCTCACGCCTATAATCCCAGCACTTTGGGAAGCCGAGGTGGGTGGATCACCTGAGGTCAGGAGTTTGAGACCAGCCTGGCCAACAATGGTGAAATCCCATTTCTACTAAAAATACAAAAATTAGCTGGGCGTGGTGCACACCTGTAATCCCAGCTGCTTGGGAGGCTGAGGCAGGAAAATCGCTTGAACCCAGCAGGTGGAGGTTGCAGTGAGCCGAGATCTCACCACTGCACTCCAGCCTGGGGGACAGAGTGAGACTCTGTCTCAAAAAAAAAGAAAAAGAAAAAAGAAAAAAAGAGGACTACTTCCCTTGAGCCCTTGTGTGTACCCATAATGGCGGCCTCAAACCTTCTCTTTTCTACTTGTGGTATCTCGGCTATCACAGTTTCTCGTGACCTTTTTAGTTTCCTGTATAGGGATCCTATTTTCCTGTTTCTTTCCCTGTGTAGTAGTTTCTGATTCTAGCTATTATGAAAGATCATAATATCATCGAGAGGTTAATTTTGTCTGCTTCCTTTGGAGAGTGAATGAGTCTGTGTGGTAAGCAGTTGAGCTACTAGATGAACTTGCTCTTTCCAAAAGCTCAATTAGGGTCAGTCTAGAACAGACCTTTTCTAGGGCGAGAGGAACCCTCTTCTCAAGATGTGGCCTTTCTGGGGGCATGGGCTGAGTGCCTAGGGTCTTATGCAAGTTGCCTCCAGACCAGCTGATGGGGAGGCTTACCTCCCAGCACTGTGGGACCCTTAGACTCACCACTAAGGTCACCACTCCCTACCTGCCGCTTTCCACCAACCCTCAAAGACTCTCACTCTCCACGTTCACAGCTTAGAACAAACCCAAAAACTTAGGGGAACCCGTGTAGGTTTCTGTGGTGATGTCTCTGTTAGCTCCTTTACTCTGGTGCCTTGCCGCACAAACATAAGCTACCCTCAACTCTGATCCCCGCCTCCTGAGCTCGGAGACGCCTTGTGTTCTGCTGGGTGCCCTAGCTGCGGTGTACAAGGTGTACAGGCAGAAGGCTGGGGCTACCAAGGCCACGCTGTATGTGTCTCCTTTCCAGGGACAGCAGTCCTGGGCACCTGTGCCATCTGGTATTCCACTTGCTGACAGTTTCATAGTGGGGAGGCTGGTCCTGCACCTGCCACTCTGCCATGGACAGGCATGGAAGCCATGAAGACAAATCTCTTATTTTAAAGTATTGTTTCAATGTGAGACATCCTCTCCCTCAAACTGCCCCTGCCAGTGTGCCCCACTATCCCAGTCCACAGGACCACAGCCACCCCGCGTGGGCAAGGGCCAGATGGCAGCTGTGTTCCCCACGTCCGCCCCGGCCTCCTTGCTGCCTGCTGAAGTCTTGCCCTGTCTATGGCCCCAGCGCCCTGAACACCCCATCTCTTCTCCAGTGTCATCCCTGCCCCTTTAGTGCGCCCTGATGATTATGGGATATACTCTTTGGAGTCAAAGAAATACATATCTCTTGTTAGGTTAAAAAAAAATAGGGGGTTGGGCACCGTGGCTCACGCCTATAATCCCAGCATTTTGGGAGGCCAAGCCAAGTGGATCACTGGAGGTCAGGAGTTCGAGACCAGCCTGACCAACATGGTGAAGCCTCGTCTCTACTAAAAGTACAAAAATTGGCCAGGTGTGGTGTAGGTGCCTATAATCCCAGTTACTTGGGAGGCTGAGGTAGGAGAGTCGCTTCAATCCAGGAAATGGAGGCTGTAGTGACCCGAGTTCACACAACTGCACTCAAGCTTGGGCAACAAGAGTGAGACTCCGTCTCAAAAAAAAAAACCCAAAAAAACCCAGAAAATACTTGGCTGGGCATGGTGGCTCATGCCTGTAATCTTAGCACTTTGGGAGGCTGACTCAGGAGTATTAAACTTTGAGCCCAGGAGTTCAAGACCAGCCTGGGCAACATAGTGAGACATCCATCTCTACAAAAAATAAAAATATTAGCCAGGTGTGGTGCTGGGCGCCTGCAGTCCCAGCTATTTGGGAAGCTGCGCGGGGAGCATTGCTTGAGCCCGGGACGTTGAGGCTGCTGTGTGCTGAGACTGCCAGCAGACACACACAGGCTCCCACATGAGAGACGCTCACCCACCTACCGGGCTCTGGAGACTAATCCCCGTCTAGCCAGGAAGGTAACTGTTGTTTCAGAGGTCAGCTCACAGGCAGGAACCGAGCGCTACGCAGGAGTCAGACACTGCAGACAAAGACACCCAGCACACAGCAACAGGGTCTGGCTTTTCGCACGCCATTTGGAAGTAGGACACGACCATGACCCAGCTGACAGAGGAGACGCCCAGGGTGGGCTCTCTCAGTGCCTGGCCTTGTGTGGCAACCGCCACCCCTCCCACCACGGGGTCCCTGAACCTTGTGAAATGAAGAGGACGTCACTTTTACCATGTCTACGCCTTGTCAAATCCCTTCCCATATGCTAACACAAAGACACTGGCTGCAGCCCAGCCAGGAAGGGTCCCACCCACCCAGTCGGGGCGACGCAGGGGCAGGTGGTGGAAAAGGTATTGCAGGTACTTGTGGAACCTCCTTACATCGAAGTCCTGGAGTCCAAACATGTGTTAATCATCAGTGAGAAATGGAGCACCGAGGGCAGTGTCCCTGGGCGCTGGCGGCCTCCCAGCATCCCCTCCAGCCCTGGCGTTGCTCTCAGCACTCTTTGAAATGGAGCCACCATCCCTCCTGCCCAGGAAGGAAGCTCCAAGGGCAACTCCCTCCACAGGAAGGAGGACCCCTGAGGTGTCCCCACTTTGGTCCAAGTTCCTGGAGAGAATCTTTCCTTCCTTCTGGGGTTGAGACGGTGGGGAAGGGATGGCGGTGCTGCTGTACTGAAGGGCAGCAAAGCAGTCCGCAGGGCAACTGCCAAAGCCAAGTGCAGACGACAGAGTCAGAGCCAGCGTTTTGGAAAAGCTGAAGCGACTTCAGACACTGCAGCAGACGCTGTGCTCAGGGCTCCGGCGTCCTGCAAGGCTGAGTGGCTTTATGTAACAGGAAGGCCAGCTCTGAGCAGAGTCAGAGTCCCTCTCTAAAATCACTTAGAATTTTATGCAACAGTTATTAAGCTGTAGCGCTCTGTCATAAATGTTGCCAAACCCCTAGATGTTTAAATTTCTAGACCAAGAAGACAGACCCCCAAAGTACCAAACCAAAAACGTGCAAGTCCACGCTGCCACAAGCCACGCTCAGGCGAACGATAAACGGGGAGCAGAGAGAAGTCTCCCGCACGGGCGGGCTCGCGACTCCTGCAGCCCCTCAGAGGTGGGTGGAACCTCTGAGGCAGCCTCAGTAAAATGATGATACCCTCCTGAATGAATTTAAGATGAATGCTTGTCCAGTCTTTCCAAGTGCCAGGAGACCTGCGGCGTGTGTGCTAAGTGACAGCAAGCCCTGCGCTCCCACTGCCCCATTCCTCCTACTCACCAGACATGGCCCACATTGACCAGGGACATGTAGAGGCCCCACAGGGCAGCCATGAGAAGCACGTTGGCACAGCCCGTGATCAGGACGAAGGACGAGATGCCCAGTCCGAGAAGAGCGAGCGAGTCCAGGGTGGAGTTCGTGTCTGACCAGTCCGTCAGCCAGAGGATGGTGGGCATGTAGCTGAAGACTTCCCAGCTCGTCTTGTCCTGGAAGTACTGCTGGAAATTCTTCAGGAGCACTCGGCAGGGAAGCAGCCCCCTGTCACCGATCAGCTGCTTGTTCTGATGGAAAGCCACCAGGAATGCCACGACTGGAAGGACAGGAAGACAAAACAAGCGTGACTAGGAACAAACCACATGTGGACACCGTGGGTGCGGCTCAGACTTGCCGGGCGAGGCGGGGCGGGAAGGGGAGGCAGAGTCTGGCCAATGGTTTGGGGTCCAAACCCCAGACTCAGGAGTTCGAGCACTTTCTCAAAATCTTGGGGGAAATATGGGAAAACCCAACCTGCATCAGACGCAGGGTGTGTATATGCACACACAAGGAAGCAAGCAGTGTGTGTGTACACGCATACACACGGACTCAAGCAGTGTGCAAGCAGGGTGTGCATGCACGCACACACGGACGCAAACTAGACACGTGTATATAAAATTCGTGCCTGGCTGCACACAGACAGTCGGCTGACCATTCGGACTGCACTCTGCGCTCCCCATTATGAAACACACCCTGATGACCCTGGCTCTGGACAATGGCGTCACTCCCAGCACACGCTGTAGGGCTTGACACTTACAGCCCACAGGTGAGCCACGCTTACCCTCCACACAAACCCCACAACGGCACTCTCACATCCACAGGTCTCCGAGTCCATGTCTCACGGTGCCCACCCCACACCGGCTCTCTCACATACTCTGGACGTCAGTGTTTGTAGAACACTGAATGTTTACCCAGAGATGACGACAGGCGAGATAACCACACTCCCATGTGTAAACGTGAAGAATGAAAAAGTAGGTTAAAAGTAAAAAAGATACACCATGCAAATGTGAATCAAAAGAAAGCTGGATCTAGTTCACTATGGCTGAAAAAAATTAAAAATAAAAATTAAAAAATAAACAAAAGAAAGCCGAAGTGGCTCTATCAACATCATAAAAAATAGATTTAAGAGCTGGGTACGGTGGCTCGCGCCCATAATCCCAGCACTTTGGGAGACCAAGGCAGGCGGATCACCTGAGGTCAGGAGTTTGAGACCAGCCTGGGCAACATGGCAAAACCCTGCCTCTACTAAAAACACAAAAATTAGCTGGGCGTGGCCTTGCATGCCTGCAATCCCAGCTACTCGGGAGGCTGAGGCAGGAGAATGGCTGGAACCTGAGAGGCGGAGGTTGCTATGAGCCAAGATCACACCACTGCACTCCAGCCTGGGCGACAAGAGCAAAACTCCACTTCAAAAAAAAAAAAAAAAAAAAAAGTAGATTTAAGGGCTGGGTACAGTGGCTTATGCCTGTAATTCCAGCACTTTGGGAGGCCAAGGCAGGTGGATCACCTGAGGTCAGGAGTTTAAGACCAGCCTGGCCAACATGGCAAAACCCTGCCTCTACTAAAAATACAAAAACTAGTTGGGTGTGGTGGTGCACCCCGGTAGTCCCACCTACTTGGGAGGCTGAGGCAGGAGAATCACTTGAACCCGGAAGGCTGCAGCGAGCCGAGATGGCGCCATTGCACTCCAGCTTGGGCAACAGAGACTCTGTCTCAAAAGGAAAAAAGTCGATTTATGAATGGATGACACAGGGATGAAAGAAGATATTGCACAATGATAAAACTATCACAAGAGCAACCCCAGAAGTACATGCGGCTTCCTACTGCGTGTGGGGAGCTGGCTTGGGGTCCACATCTGTGACTGTGTGTGCTGGTTTGGGGTGCTGTCTGTGTAGACAGGTGGGAAGCTAGTACATGTACTTTTCCCCATGCGTTTATAAATCTAAAAAAGTATAAACGGAATCCGCACATGGAAAACTACAAAACACTGATTTAAAAAATGAAACAAGATCTAATGACACGAAGAGACAGACCATGTTCATGGATTGGAAGAATCAAAATCATTAAGGTGTCAATTTGATCCATAAATTCAGCACAATCTGAACCAAAACACCCAGTCAGTGCTTCTGCCGAGGCTGACAAGCCGATTCTAGAATGTACGTGGGAGGGCAAAGGGACTAAAATAGCCAGAATCATCTGGAAAAGAACAGAGGTGGAGGACTCATGTTACCCAGTTTCAAGACTTACTAAGAAGCTAATCAAGACCGCAAGAAGACAGCACAGCGCTGATTAAAGAAGAGCCGCAGAACTCAGGGGAATGGGGCCGGGCGTGGTGGCTCAAGCCTGTAATCCCAGCACTTTGGGAGGCCGAGATGGGTGGATCACAAGGTCAGGAGATCGAGACCATCCTGGCTAACACGGTGAAACCCCGTCTCTACTAAAAATACAAAAAACTAGCCAGGCGAGATGGCGGGCGCCTGTAGTCCCAGCTACTCAGGAGGCTGAGGCAGGAGAATGGCGTGAACCCGGGAGGCGGAGCTTGCAGTGAGCTGAGATCCGGCCGCTGTACTCCAGCCTGGGTGACAGAGCGAGACTCTGTCTCAAAACAAACAAACAAAAAAAAAAGAACTCAGGGGAATGGAAGACAGGGCCCAGACATAGCCCTGCTGCCCTAACCCAACACACAGAGTGAACAATGCTGACAAAGGTTCAAAGGTCACTCCACAGACAAAGAGCAGCCTTGGGCCAGGCGCGGCGGCTCACACCTGCCATCCCAGCACTTCAGGAGGCCGAGGCCTTGGGCCAGAGCCCAGCTGCAGCCCCGGCTCACACCTGCCATCCCAGCACTTCAGAGGCCGAGAGCCTTGGGCCGGGCGCGGCGGCTCACACCTGCCATCCCAGCACTTCAGGAGGCCGAGGGCCTTGGGCCAGGCGCGGCTCACACCTGCCATCCCAGCACTTTGAGAGGCCGAGGCAGGGAGGCCGAGGCAGGAGGATCGCTTGAGCCCAGGAGTTCCAGAGCAGCCTGGGCAACAAGGTGAGACCCAGTCTCTAAAAGTAAATAAAAAAACAAAGACTAGTCCTTTAACAATGATGTTGGAACAAATGGATGTCCACGTGCAAAAAGATGGACCTGAACACACTTCACACCTTACACAAAAATTAACCAAAAAGGATCATAGGCCTAAAAGTAAAACATAAAAGCGTAAGACTTGTAGATGGAAATATAGAAGAAAATCTATGTGACTTGGGTTTGGCAACAAGTTCTTAGATACAGCATTAAAACCATAATCTATGAAATTAAAAACTGTAAATTGAACTTTAACAAAATGAAAAACTTTTTTTATTCTTATTTATTTTTATTTTTTATTTTTTTGAGACAGAGTCTCGCTCTGTCACCTAAGCTGGAGTGCAGTGGCGCGATCTCGGCTCACTGCAAGCTGCGCCCCCCGGGTTTATGCCGTTCTCCTGCCTCAGCCTCCTGTGTAGCTGGGATTACAGGCACCTGCTACTGATTTTTTTTTTGTATTTTTAGTAGAGACGCGGTTTCACCGTGTTAGCCAGGATGGTCTCCATCTCCTGACCTCGTGATCCGCCCATCTTGGCCTCCCAAAGTGCTGGGATTATAGGCGTGAGCCACCGCGCCCGGCCAAAATGAAAAACTTTTGATCTGCAAAAGCTACTTTTTGTATTTTTTTTTTTTTTTTAAGTAGAGACGGGGTTTCATCTTGTTAGCCAGTATGGTCTCGATCTCCTGACCTCGTGATCCGCCCGTCTCGGCCTCCCAAAGTGCTGGGATTACAGGCTTGAGCCACCGCGCCCGGCCAAAAGCTACTTTTAACAGAATGAAAACACAAGTCACAGATTAGAAGAAAATACTGGCAAATCACACATCTGATAAAGGATTTGTATCCAGAATATTTAAAGAACTTTTAAAATTCGATAATTAGAAAACAAACAACTTAATGTTAAAGGTGTGAAGAAAAACACCAGGCCACAAGATCTGAACAGACGCAGGAAAGGTGCACAGTTGGCAAATAACACGTAAAAAGATGCTCAACACCATTCATCATTGGGGAAATGCCAATGACAACCACAACGTGCTGTCACCACACACGCGTCACTGTGGCCAAAGCGTCTGAAAATGGACAGTGGCCAGGCCGGGTGCGGGGGCTCACGTCTGTAATCCCAGCACTTTGGGAGGCCGAGGCGGGCAGATCACCTGAGGTCAGGAGTTCAAGACCAGCCTGGCCAAGAAACTCCATCTCTACTAAAAAGATAAAAACTAGCCGGGTGTATCGGTGGGCGCCTGTAATCCCAGCTACTCGGGAGGCTGAGGCAGAATTGCTTGAACCCAGGAGGCGGAGGCTGGAGTGAGCCGACACAGTGCCACTGCACTCCAGCCTCGTCGACAGAGTAAGACTCTATCTCAAAAAAAAAAAAAACAGAAAAGGAAAGAAAATGGACAGTGCCTAATGCTGTGGAAGGTTCGGGATAGTAGGAGTGCCCTCGCTGTGCTGGGGATGCTGTGGTGTACCGCTGTGGACGGCAGACAGTGGCGTCTGACCCAGATAATGAAGGGCTACCTTACAACCCAGCTACTGCGCCTCTCAGGCCTTCAACCTGAAAACGTGCTCACACAGAAGCCTCGTGCAGATGCTCGTAGCAGCTCTGTTCATAGTCACTAAAAACTAGAAACAAGAACGACGTCTTTCACGGTGGAAGTGGACAAATAACCAGAGGGGCATTTGTGCAACAGAAAAATAATCAGAGGTAAGAATGCAGGAGCTGTTGGTTCAGGCAACAACACGGATGAATCTTAAGTGCATTGTGCTAAGTAAGAGAATCTAGACCCAACAGGCTACATACTACACGATTCCATTCATATGGAATGGAAAAGGCAAAATCAGAGGGATGGGAGACGGACCTGGGCGTGCCAGGGGCTGGTGTGGGGGACGCGGTCACCCCCATGCACAGGGACTTACGGGCTGGAGCTGCAGTGATGGAGCAAAGCCCACAGCACTGAGCATGACACCAGATGAACTTTAATGCGCACAAACTATTGGGGGAAGACCCAACCAGGAGGTCAGGGGATGCAGACGGAATGCAGGCTCCACACACACGAATGTAAATCAGAACCACACTAGCCAGAGGGCAGGAGCTGCCTAAGCAACTCGGGAAAATGTTCTGAGTGGAGACCGCAAGGCCAGAGGAGCCGTACACAAACACTGCGCTCCAGGGCTTTTTCCCCCTGGCCTGGGAGGACATTCCTCACAC